CCTCCCTCCCTTCCTTCCTTCCTTCCTTCCTTCCTTCCTTCCTTCCTCTCTGTGTCTGTCTGTCTCTCTCTCTCTCTCTCTCTTGTTCAAGCCATCCTTCCACCTCACTTTCCCTAGTAGCTGGGACTACAAGCACACATCAGCATGCGTGGCCTATTTTTTAAAGGTTTTTGTAGAGATGAGGTCTCACTATATTGCCCAAGCTGGTCTCAAACCCCTAGGCTCAAGTGATCCTCCCACCTTAGCCTCTGAAAGTGCTGGGATTAGAGGCATGAGTCACTGTGCCCAGCCTAATTATTTAATATGTGACCTCTTTGCCAAACTTCATGAGGGCAGGAGCAATGTCTACTATGTTCATCTCTGCATTCTCAGTGCTGAGAATAGCACCTGGTACACAGCAGGTGCCCCCAAATACTTTTAAATAAACAAATGGAGATGAGGCAAATTAAGCACAGAATAAACTGTCAACAATGACTGAGAAGACTAAGACTTGGGGCTCATGACAGATACTACATGATGGCTTCACCCACTATTAGAAGGACTAGAAACCTCCCACTTACTGGCAAACAGTTAAAAAAAAAAAAAATCCAAGCTTCTCAGAAGAGCTCTGAGTTGCAAAGGTGAAACAGCAAAACAGCAGGGAAAGGAGACTAAAGAAAGAAAAAAAAAAAAAAAACAAATTTAAGAAGAAAAGGATGAAAGAATAAAGACAAAAATAAAACTCAATGCAATAAAAGGCAGAGGTTGGATTTGAAGCAGGAATGAGAAGGCCTGTAAGTAGCACTCATTCTGCCCATGAACAAGCAGGAAAAATGGCTGACCATGTGATGGTAGAAGAATAACTCTAATAGAGAAACACATGGCTAAAGGTACTCTACTCATAGGACAGCTCTATGGTCTGGGAAACATTCTCTGAGTATTAGCTTCAAGTGATCTCATCTATGTTCAAGTCTTTGCTAGATGTAATACATAAATCTTCTGAGCAATGGTGACAAGGCTCACCGCTGAGCCAGAATACTACAGAGCAAGGGCTGGCAAACGATTGCCCATGGTCCAAATTCAGCTCTCAGCCTGCTTTTGTAAGTTTACTGGAACACAGCCATGCCTGTTCATTAATGTATTGTCTATGACTGCTTTCACGCTCCAATGGCAAAGTTTAGTTATGACAGACACTGAATGGCCTCTGAAGCCTAAAGTGCTTATTATCTGTTCCTTCACAGAAAGTTTGTCAGTACTTATTGTAGAATATAGCAGTTTGTTTTTTCTTTTATCTTATCTTTTTTTTTTTGAGACAAGAGTTTCCTCTGTTGCCCAGGCTAGAGTGCAGTGGTATGATCTGGGCTCACTGCAACATCTGCCTCCCAGGTCCAAGAGATTCTCTTGTCTCAGCCTCCCAAGTAGCTGGGATTTCAGGTGCTTGCCACCATGCCCAGCTAATTTTTGTATTTTTAGTGGAGATGGAGTTACTTCATGTTGGCAAGGCTGATCTCAAACTCCTGACCTTAGGTGATCCACCCACCTCGGCCTCCCAAAGTGCTGGGATTACAGGTGTGAGCCATCGCGCCCAGCCAAATATAGTAGTTTGAATAGAGCTTCTTCTACATATGCAGCAGAACAGGAATTAGGAGTG